GGGGGGGGGGGGGGGGGGGGGGGGGGGGGGGGGGGAACCAGAAAATAGGTGCTTTTTTATATAGCTTTACTGTTGTTCTTATCCTGTTCTCGTAACAGGTGGCCTCTCAGTATCTGCTTCCCTGAGATTACTGAAAGAGAATTTGCTGTTAACATAAAAGCAGCTACAGACGCCAGTGGGCATGTGATGTGGAAAGGACTGGCGCTGCATTCCCGCTGTGTGACACGCGTGGTCCCTCCACAGCGCCCATCAGATGGCAGCACAGCCCGAGCAGCGAGCAGCTCCAGCTCTGGGGACCGGCCTACAGCCTGCACTATCAACACTACCAGAGCACCTCTGCCAACAGCAGGTGCGTTTCACCTAGGAGCTTTCTTTAAGCAGTAGTATTGTAGCTCTGAGTGCCCATGGGAATGTTTTGTACACAACTGATTAGTCCCAGCACAGAGAAAAGTGAGAAACACTGAAGCAGGAACACACATAACTATAGGCACTTTTAGTGCAATGACACAGAACTGCTTTAAACCTTTAATGTAGTTTCTAGACATGTTTACTTACCACTTGATACAGATATATCTACATATAAAAAATAGTGCATACACATCCCTTGTCAGCATAGGCTGCATTTACTCACTGTTTGCAGCTGCTGAAGCCTCAAGTTGTGCAATCCGGGTTTTCCTTTGCTGTGAGCAGAACAACATTGCCTAGTCTTAAACTCAGACCTTGGCCTGAAACTCGTGTGGAGTAACTGAGCAGATTTGTCCAAGTTCCCAGACATACCAGCCTTCCTAGCAGTAAGCTTGACACTCAGAAAATCTTCACACAGATGCCTGAATAAGTGTTCTAATTACTCTGCTAAAAGAACTTGTTATTCTGCAGCCCTAATGGCTAGTACTGGTCTGCTGTCTCCTGAGACATTATCGCAGGTTTTTGCCAGCCAGGACAACAGTTCAACTTACCAGTAACATGAAAGAAAAAAAGGTCTGTGTTTTGATTTCGAAAAAGCAGTTCCATCCCCACTGAGATGCTGAGAGTTTGGTCCTGCTAAACTTACTTGAAAAAACATCCACCGTTTGTAATAGTTATCCTGCTGAGATGGTCTCCTTCAATCTATACCAAAACATTTCAAAACTCTGATAGCACGATCTGCCCCACTTCTCCAAGGACTTTTGCTACAGACACCAGATCACCTCATATCACCTCCCCTCATGCTTCACCTGGCTTTGGGTCACTTGTGAGCTGAAGTGACCCGGATAAAGCACTAAAGGGCTGAGAATCTCTGCCTTTAGGCACCTAATTGTCTTTGCAGTTACGGAGGAGCCTGCCCTGAAGTGGTGAGAGCAGTCAGGCATCCACACCAACAGTCACAGCCCAAAGAGAGGAAAAAAGCTTTTCTCTTCATGGCAGGAAAGGAGTGCACAGCAGTTACCCAGACTCTTGTTTTACTCCTCACTTGTACAGAGAATTCAGATGTTTCAGAATGCTCTGCTGGAAATTAATCCAACCTCTGCAGTATACAGCTGGGACTGTCTGAGCTGTCCTATATAGCTATTTCTATATGGTCTTTGTAGCTGGCACCAAGGGAGAGCCTTGGCCAAAAAGCATCAGGTGTTTCGTATCTCCCCTCATCAGTTGTCCCACATAACCTCCAAGACAGTTTTTGTGGTTTTCTCCTCCAACTTTAAATGCCTGGAATACAGTGGTCTGTGGTAGCCCAGCAGCCTGATGTTTTTAAAACTCCAGGGCTGAGAGAAGGTGCACATGCATGAGTCAGGTGGCTGCACACTTTGGGACATGGCATTGCACTGGACCCGGCACCAGGAAACTAAATTTGGTGCCATGCTCATCTGTATTGTCTGAAGTGGACACTAGAGTGAAGACCTCTGCCAGCTGCATCTGGGATTCCTCTAGGAGATTATTTGTTGCTCGTTCTTGCAGGGGATGCTGTGTGCTTGGGCACAAACCAGCTCATATGGGTAAGCAGGACCTGTGCCAGCTTTACCTGTGATAGAGTTAATTTTCCTCCCAGTAGCTGGGATGGGGCTGTGTTTTGGATTTGTGCTGGAAACAGTGTTGGTAACACAGGGATGTTTTAGCTGTTGCTGAGCAGTGCTCACACAGAGCCAAGGCTTTTCTGCTCCTCACCCCCACCACCAGCAGGGAGGCCGGGGGTGCACAAGGAGCTGGGAGGGGACACAGCCAGGACAGCTGACCCCAACTGACCCAGGGATATCCCAGACCATCTGGTGTCAGCTCAGCATAGAGAAGGGGGGACGTTTGGAGTGATGACGTTTGTCTTCCCAAGTCACTGTTACACGTGATGGAGTCCTGGAGATGGCTGAGCTCCTGCCTGCCCATGGGAAGCGCAGAATGCATTTCTTGTTTTGCTTTGCTCATGTGCACGGCTTTTGCTTTACCTGTTAAACTGTCTTTATCTCAACCACAAATTTTCTCACTTTTACCCTTCTGATTCTTTCTCCCATCCCACCAGGGGGGAATGAGAGGGTGGCTGTGGGGTGCTTAGTTGCTGGCTGGGGTTAAACCACAACAGACTGCAAATGACCACGCAGAGCAGCTGGTGCAGCTCAGCTTAGCTCCAGAGTCTGGAACTGAACCACCCTTGTTGTGATCTATTCATGTGAAGAGAGACTTCTCCACACTGGTGGCAGCTCAGCTGGGAGGGCCCAATGTACCACAGCCAGGTGTAGAGGAATAGTAACAAGACATGTTACCAACTACCTCTAGCAATGAAAGTGCTGAGGAGTCACTACAGAACTAAACCTGGAGAAAAAGAAGAAATACTTGGTGCTAACGGAGACACATAAAGAAACGTCAAGCTCTTACCCGTACAAAGCTAGCTGGAAACCAGCCTTCGCTGTCCAGAATCCTCCCCCACCACCACTCCTTGTTGGTGGCATCCATTACTTCAATGACATCTCCGGCCTTGAATCCCAGCTCTTGGTCATCCATCGTGACATGGTCCCAGAGTGCTTCTGCATACACCACGCTGCCATCACTGATGAGCTGTGGACAGAGCAAGTCAAGCTGTCAGCTCCCTCCAAGGACGCAGTGCAGCCTGACGATGTGGCTGCAGCTGAGCCAAACGAGTGTTGATAACTGTTTACTCCCCATGAGCAATGTGAAAAGGACTTGGTGCTAGTCTGGAAGTTGCTTCGACTGATCTTGCTTTCAATAGAGTTTACACAGAATCACTTGGACACAGTACATTTACTACTGTAACCAACATAAATCTGATGCTCTGGAATTTCTTATTGATGATTTTTGCCTCAGCCAGCAAACAAGGCTCAGTGGTGCATTGTTGGTGGAGGATGCTCTTGTGCTGCCAGTGCAGCCCTGCTTTGGAAAGCCGTGAAATAAAACCTTGAGCACCAATGCTTAGAGACATACTTCAGAACAGAAAGCATTCTGAGGCCTCAGAGAGAGCCTTAAGTTTTTAATGTGGTTAAACTTTGCACTTAAGCTGCTTAAAGTAAGTCCCCCGGAGAGTTTAAGTAATTATACTGAGGGACAGTGGTTATTTACATGTCCCACAGAGGGCCTACTCTAGGAAAAAAAGGACCCCCAACAATTAAAAAACCAAAACAAACAAAAAACCCCAACCAACCCACATGGCTAGAGGCTGTGAGGGGCCTCTTGACCACAGTGATGATTGTGTCTATAGGTGCCTGATGCCATTCTCAACCATTCACACCTTAGCTATGGTGCAGCTAAGCAACACTTGGGACCTGTTGCAGTGGTGTATTTGTAAGCTGGTCCTGCTGGGTACAGCAACAGGAGTCCTGCCTGATGCCCAGAGGCTTGTCATGTCAGAGTCTCCTTTGAATTTCAACTGCCCAGTACACACACAGACTTCTTAGAGCCTGAGCATGACTGAGACTGACTAAACACCAAGGATTTCCCCAAGAAGGCAGAATAGTCTACTGGAGTCCTGCTAAAGAGGACTTACTCAGCCATTCTGGAGTGGCAGTTAAGCCCTATTTTTCTCCAGGAAAATGGTACAATGATGAATTTTGGGAAGACAAGAAGAAAGAGCAGTCTATAAGGCACAAGGGAGAAGAGAAAACTGGTACAAAACCCACTGTCTATGGTACATCTCACAACACTGCAGTGGTAACACCACAACCACATAATACAAGTGTCACCCATGTTGGGCACCTTAAGATTGCTTGGTCACATGGTTATCTACTGCTCAGGGTTACTGGTTTTGTCTCTCTCCAACGAAGAAAGATGCATGTTGTAAAAGAATGTCAGGATAATTGTGCATAGAGTAAATCGGGAGAGAGTTAACGAGGCATTTTGAAAGAAAATTCAAATACAGTCTGCCTTTGGATAGCAAATGCCCCTTCACTAACCAGAAACAGCTCATTGCAGTGCTTTCATTCTAACAAAAATAACAGGGTGATGGGGAAGGAAAGGATGAGAGGTTCCCACTTATCTACGCAGTCAGTGTGTTGGCACTCCCCACAGTGCCTTTTCTCAGGGCTGGGTGCCTCCTTACTGCAGGTTTCTGCTCTTCACAGAGGCGAGCAGTCCCTGCGGTGAGGCCCAGCAAGCTGGGAACATAAGGGACATGCTGCTGTCATACAGCTGGGCAGTGGCATGACGGGAAAACGATCCAAGGGTCTTAAACAGCATCTCGCTAGTCTAAGCTCCTATAGCAAGGACAGGTTTTGATCCCAAGGCAGGTCTCAGAAGATGAAACATCAAGAGTGATGAATGCACCATGCAGCAGAGGCAGCTACACCCAGCCAAAAGGCAGGTATTCATCCAGATGAGCTGTGGAGGGAAAGGATATTTGGGCTTGACATTTAAGGCATACAGCTGTTAGAGCTATGTGTGATGCAGTGGAGTGATGCTATGTGTATCTCAGTGGAGGTAGGGGATGGAGAGACACGTGACAGCAAAGATGCAAGGGTTATTGATGTGTTAGAAACCATTGAAGCACCTGAGAATGGTCACGTAGGAATTTGGACCTCTGCCCTGAAAAAAGGTCGCGGGATCAACAGCCCAGCTGAAGTGCATCTACACCAATGCATGCAGCAAGGGCAACAAGCAGGAGGAGCTGGAAGCCACTGTGCAGCGGGAAAACTATGATATAGTTGCCATCATGGGAACATAGTGAGATGACTTGCACAACTGGAGTACTGCAATGGATGGATATAAACTCTTCAGAAAGGATATGCAAGGAAGGAGAGGCAGTGGGGTAGTGCTGTATGTCAGGGAGTGTTTTGACTGTAGAGCTTGATAATGGTGATGGTAATGTTGAGTGTTTATGGATGAGAATCAGGGGGAAGGCCAACAAGGCAGACATCATGGTGGGACTGTTACAGACCACCCAACCAGGATGAAGAGGCAGATGAAATATTCTGTAAGCAGCTGGGAGAAGTCTCACAATTGCTAGCCCTTGTTCTTGTGGGGGACTTCAAATTATCAGGCGTGCGCTCAAAATACAATACAGTGGAGAGGAAGCAGTCCAGGAGGTTCCTGCAGTCTGCGGAAGAGAACTTCCTGACACAGCTGGTGAGGGAGCCAACTAGGGAAGGCAGCCTGCTGGAGCTGTTGTTTGCAAAGAAGAAGGACTTGTGGGTGATGTGATGGTTGGAGGCCATCTTGAGCATAGAGATCACGCAATGATAGAGTTTTCAGTTCTTGGAGAAGTAAGGAGGGGTGTGAGCAGAACTGCCACCTTGGACTGCCGGAGGGCAGACTTTGGCCTGTTTAGGAGCCTGGTTGACAGAGTCCCTTGGGAGGCAGTTCTGAAGGGCAAAGGAGTCCAGGAAAGCTGGACATTCTTCAAGAAAGAAATATTAAAGGTGCAGGAACAGGCCGTCCCCATGTGCCAAAAGATGAACCGGCAGGGAAGACGACCAGCTTGGCTGAACAGAGAGCTTTGGCTGGAACTCAGGAAAAGAGAGTCTATGACCTTTGGAAGAAGGGGCAGGCAACTCAGGAGGACTACAAAGATGTTGTGAGTTTATGCAGGAAGAAAACTGGAAGGGCCAAAGCCCAGCTAAAATTTAACCTGGTTACTGCTGTAAAAGACAAGGAAGAATGTTTCTGTAAATACGCTAGCCACAAAAGGAGGGCTAAGGAGAATCTCCATCCTTTGTTGGATGTGGGGGAAATGTTGACAAAGGATGAGGACAAGGCTGAGATACTTAATGCCTTCCTTGCCTCAGTCTTTAATAGTAAGACCAGTACTCTCTGGGTACCCATCCCCTTGAGCTGGAAGACAGGGATGGAAAGTAGAACAAAGCCCCCTAATCTGAGGTGGTTAGTGACCTGCTACACCACTTAGACACACAAAAGTCTATGGGGCTGGATGGGTTCCCCCCAAGGGTACCAAGGGAGCTGGTGGAAGTGATCACCAAGGCACTTTCCATCATTTATCATCAGTCCTGGCTAACCGAGGAGGTCCCAGTTGGCTGGAGGTTAGTCAATGTGACACCCATCTATGAGAAGGGTGGGAAGGAGGATCTGGGGAACTACAGGCCTGTCAGTCTGACCTTGGTGTCCGGGAAGGTTATGGAGAGATCATGAGTGCCATCACACAGCACATACAGGACAACCATGTGACCAGGCCAGTCACCATGAGTTTATGAAGGGCAGGTCCTGCTTGAGTAACCTGATGTCCTTCTGTGACAAGGTGATCCGCTTAGTGGAATAGGGAAAGTCTATGGGTGTTGTCTACATAGACTTTAGTAAAGCCATTGATACTGTTTCCCACAGAATTCTCCTAGAGAAACTGGCAGCTCATGACTTGGATAGGTAATAAACTGGCTGGATGGCTGGGCCCAAAGAGCTGTGGAGAATGGAGTTAAATCCAGCTGATGGCTGGTCACAAGTGGTGTTCCCCAGGGCTCAGTACTGGGGCTAGTTTCATTCAGTATCTTTATCAATGATCTGGACGAGGGGATCGAGTGCACCCTCATTAAGTTTGCAGATGACACCCAGTTGGGTGGGAGTGTTGATCTGCTCAAGGGTAGGGAGGCTCTGCAGAGGGATCTGGACAGGCTGGAGCAATGGGCTGAGGCCAACTGTGTGAGGTCCAACAAGGCTCAGTGCTGGGTCCTGCACTTGGGTGACAACAACCCCCTGCAACGCTACAGGCCTGGGGATGAGTGGCTGGAAAGGTGCCTGGTGGAAAAGGACCCAGGGGTGTTGGTCAACAGCCACCTGAATAAGAGCTGGCAGTGTGCCCAGGTGGCCAAGGGGCCAATGGCATCCTGGCTTGTATCAGAAATAGCGTGGCCAGCAGGGACAGGGAAGGGATTGTCCCCCCATACTCGGCACTGGTGAGGCTGCACCTTGAATACTGTGTTCAGTTTTTGGCCCCTCACTACAGGAAAGACACTGAGGTGCTGGAGCGTGTCTAGAGAAGGGCAACAAAGCTGGTGCAGGGTCTGGAGCAGAGGTCTTATGAGGAGCGGCTGAGGGAACTGGGGGGGTTTAGTCTGGAGAAAAGGAGGCTCAGGGGAGACCTTATTGCTCTCTACAACTACCTGAAAGGAGGCTGTAGCGAGGGGGGTGTTGGTCCCTTCTCCCAGGTAACAAGCAATAGGATGAGATGAAACAAGTTGCACCATGGGAGGTTTAGATGGATATTAGGAAAAATGTCTTCACCAAAAGGGTTGTCAAGCATTGGAACAGGCTGCCCAGGGGAGTGGTGGAGTCACCATCCCTGGAGGTATTTAAAGACGTGTAGGTGTGGTGCTTAGGGACATGGTTGAGTGGTGGACTTGGCAGTGTTAATGGTTGGACTTGATGATCTTAAAGGTCCTTTCCATCCTAAATAATCCTATGATTCTATGCTTTTTATGCATAGTTCACTTAACAGGCATATTGCATATACTTTGCCAAGCTTGAAGCATACCCAGCATTATGAATAAACCCTTTATTCATATTTTTGAAACACCTGCAAGTCTTGTCAGGCTTCTAGAAAGTTGGAGATTTTAGCTTTCTAACATAAAGTAGTTCTGAATAGAGTAGGGAAGAGAGTGGAT